TAGTTGTATAAAGCGAACGTAATATTGAAATTAACTTCTCGGGCACACCTTTCAGAGAAAGGCAGCGCCAGAGTTTACAGCGGTCGACTGAGTCGAAAGCCGCTTTCAGATCAAGGAAAATAAAAATGGTGGGTCTACGAAAGGAGTGTCTATGTGACGAATGGCCTACTCAGTTCATCATAGGACCTTACACGACCAGAGGTATGCGAGTACAGTGACCTCAGTAAGTTAACGTACTTCTGGGGCATTCCTTTTCGAAGAACGGAGCTTCGCAGTTAACTGAGTCGAAGGCTCCTTTCAGGTCAAGGAACACTGCTATCGTTGGCCGACGGTGGGTATGATGCAGCTCAGGGATCTGACGCAACGTAAAAATTTGATCAATACACCCACGGCCAGGCCGGAATCCGGCTTGCTTCCTTAATTATCTCACTTACGCCTATTTTCCTAGGGCCCGTATTCCTAATTAGATGGAAAACGTTACGACTATTACCAATAGCCGCGGCTTTCTCCATCTCTTTACACTTTTCTACCCACCACTTCTCGCGGTCATTCCTCAGACTCTTCATGAGCTGGCGTTTAAGGGATTTTCGCGCTGTGTCGTATGTGGTATCCGGAGGAAGGGTTCTGCGGGCGTCCAGCAGGGCAACCGAGGTCGATGATATCCATCGTTTGTGTTTCGAGCTTGAGTTAGGATCCGACGTTGCTTTTATCGATATCCGCATAGCTTCCTTTACTTGCTCCCAGTGTTCATTGAGTCCATCGGCTGGCGGTTGAACTGACAGGCGATCAGAGAGCTCCGCTTCGAAAGCCGATCTGCATGAATCGCTGACACGGTATCGTGGATATCCGTTGTCGGTGGCCTTTTCTCGGTTGTTTGCCAGGCGTAAGGAGAACTTGGCTCGTAACCTATACCTTAGTTTAATACAAAATAAATCGTATATGACTTTCCTCATCATAACGGGTGCACTTTCAGTTCAGTAACATACGATTCGAGATATACTTCGCACTTACCTGTTGAAGTATTGGGTCCACGTTGATCAGAAATGCTCCATTTGAAGTGTTCCTCAAAGGTGGGCATTTCCATAAAACAGACACGGCATTTGTCACACACATAGTAGGGTAATCCGGTATGACGATATAAGTGCCTCTGTCGTTGAGTGTAGCCCACCACAATTGTACCACATGGCTCAAAAGATGTACATTGGGCAGTAGCAACGGGCGACGGCGTCACATCCCACTGACAGCGAAAATGACCAATGGACGGTTTGTCCACGACAGCATGCGTAATCACGTGCTCCATGAAAAGATTTGCCGAATTAGTTCTGTTATGCGATGTAACCGGTGGGTGTGTATTAAAAAACAAAGGAGGAACGGCGATGAGCAGAGTTATCACAGGCACAAGGTAAAAGGAATTAGGCGGTACGCTTCCAAAAACAAAGCAGCTCCGAATCTCTTAGTGTGTGTGCCAGAAGTATTGAGATAACCTAGATTGATTCTGAAAGCCTCGCAATGTTACCTCTAGTTTAAATCCTTTAGGGAACACAGACACCTAAAGCTTGAAATTCTGTTTGGTTAACCGCATATGGCCTCAATAGAAGGCACAATGTGGCGAGAAACGAAAGCAAAGCAGTTTTTTCAGCATTCGACAGATGGACTCAAAAGTCAACTTTTATCAAACACCAGATCACTACAACTTATATATTCCTCCTTATCACCAGTGAGAGAACGACACAGACACATTGCACAGGTCAAAAACAGTTACAATTTCAGTCATAAAACAAGTTTGACGGACACAGATTGCCTACATCACGACCGTATTCGGGTTGCCGGTTGAAAACAGGAAAACAGAAACATCGAAAATGTACCAATGAGGATAGAATCAGAGAGAAAGACAAACAGGTCAAGCAAAGTTGCTTGTAAGCGGGAGCGAAGGTGGAAAATAGCAAAATAAGTTCAGTGTCATCCATTAAAGAAAACAATGTGATTAAGCATTCTCCACCACCGTAGAAAATACTTAGTTCAAAGGCGTGAAATTAACACCTGATTTCCGAAGTATAATAGGAGAATCAACTCACCGATATTCACAACCATACCAACGGCAAGTGAATCCCTGATTAATAAGATTTTGTTGCCAAAGAAGGAGGCCTGCTACGCGATAAAGCGAAGAGCTTTTTTGGAATTCAATTCCACGACATACGAGATCCCGACTGTTTTGACGCTTGATCATTGCTATCTTGGTGCGTTGCAAACAGAACTCGATGAAAACATGTGTCAACAAGTGCCTTTCCATCTCTTCGCTACCAGAAAAAAGAAGCCACTTGTTTTCACAATAGCGCCAAAAGCAGTAAGGTACACAATTTTTACCATTATGTTCTGAAGTCACATGAACATGTAGACGGCCGAAAGTGGTGAAAGAACGATAGCAACCAAACCAACGACAGCGAAGAAATTCGGTCGACACTGCTTCATCCATTTTGGTCTTGTTTAGTGAGAATAGGAAGTGCTCGAGGAGGGCAGTTCCGTCTTGAAAACCCCGACCACAGATACTGCACCCATAAATGGCTATAATTGTGAGAATCAGATACGAAAGCACTCACCATCCCGTGAAGTGAGTGCATACGAAATACTAGGGCTGTTTGATTTGGTTAGAATGGTATCCGAAGTCGGTAACGGAGGATAAGAGCAGACGCTTGCGAGTTCAGCCAAATCGCACCGGGCAAGAAAGGACGCGGAGTTCGCGCAGGATGAGGCAAATCGCACATGATTCAGTATATGGTTCTTCAGAC